AGCATTGTTCTTCAAACATATTTACTAGTTTTCTAGATAGAAATAGGATTTTAGGATCAATGGTGAGGTAATACATAAACAGCCCAAATGATTTTTAAAAAAATCAGTTTATTCTTCTATCAATAGCATTTGAGAGGGTGTAGTCTTTAATTTTTTAGAGTTCATTTTTTTTTATTACTTTAAGTGTGTGTGAGTGTGGGTACCCGCCCACGTGCACACATGAGCGAATGCATGAGTGCATAAGTGGAAGTGCCTGTGAAGGTTAGGGGCACTGAATCTCCATGAGCTGGAGTTAAAGGTAGTTATGAATCTACTGACATGGGTGCTGAGATCTGAACTTGGGTATTCTACAAAAGGAGTGTGCAACCTTAAAATGCCAGGCCATCTCTCTAGTCCACAAACTTTCTTTTTTAGTGCTGTGGATGGAACCCAGAAGTGCGTTTATATTGTAAGCAAGTGCTCTAATCCTCCAGCTATTCCCCAACTCTTAGAGAGAGTAGACTCTTTTGAGTCCAGCTTTCTTTAATTGGAGGATCAGCACTGAGTAGTTGAGAATTTGACTCTGCACTCTGGAGTATTTATCTTTAATGACTGCTCAGATGCTAGTCTTTTCTCCCTTAGAATAAGTTCCCTGAAGGCCGGGGTCATGGCATACACTTCTTTGGTATTTCCCATAGGTGTTCAGTACAAGCCAGGCAAACTGTTGGTTGTCAATCCATATCTGATGAATGACTAATAAACCAGTTTATATTTGTGGGCTACACAAGGTTTTGAGGTCAGCTCCTGGAAGGAGAGGGCTGGGCAGAGTCAGAGACTAGGGATGTGCCAAGTCAGTATCAGTTGCTCTCACTTGGACAAGTTGAGACCCTAATCTGGGAACCTTACCAAGCACCTAGCACAATTCCTGGCTCAGAAAAGCTCCTTAGTAAAATACCACTATTTTGCTGTTGTGATTCCTGTTTAATGAGAGGGTAGTATTAGGGGCAGTTGAAGGTTCAAGTTTGGTACCTAAAACTATTCCAGGTAAAGTCAGAAGGTCACAGTCCAGACATAGAAACAAATTGGGAACCAGCAGAAGCAGCCAGGAACAGAGTTGAAACAAGGGTTTGGAGGATGAACATGGTGGTATAGTCCTATAATCCTGGTATCTGAGGGGACTAAGGCAGGAGAATCCAAACTTTGAGTACAGCCTGGACCACACAGCAAGATCCTGTGTCAAAAAAAAAACAAAAACCCAGAAACAAAGAAAAACAGAAGTGAGGGTCAGTTTCTGGAACTTGAAATGGACATTCAATTGCATTATGATAAACAATTTCTTTGACACCCCACACAGTTTTTGTTGGCTTTTTGTATGTTTGGCGTTCGTGTGTGGACATCTTTATGGTGCTGCTTATCCTCAGAGAAAAGCCAACAACAACAACAAAAAAGTAAAAAATAACTCTCATTCTTAACTCTCTATTCCTATTTGGCAGCATGGCTGAAGGAGGGAGATGGGAGATGGCAGGTTTCATAGACATGACTGGGATACTCAATGTGGACTGTGTCTCTCCTGTGTGCCAAACATTCAAACATAATCTATAATCCACGTTATAATTCTATGAAGTAGGTACAGCTGTCCCTCATTATCCAAAGGTGATTGCTTCTAGGACCCCCATGAATATGCTCAAATATCTCATGTGGAATGGAGCAGTGCTTGCATATAGACTTTGCATTCCTCCCATGCATTTTACATCCAAGTTACTTATGATACTGATCGCACTGCACTGTAGATGCCATGCAAATGATGTTACACTGAATTTCTTGGTAGAAAGATAACAAGAAAAAGTTTCTACATGTTCAGTAGAGGTACATTTTTTTTCTTAAAATGTTTTTTGACAAAAATTTATTCAAGTGACATAATACATTCCAATGTTGAAGCTGGTATGTCTAACGATTATCCAGAATGCCTTCAGTTACAAAATCTGGCATTGTCAGTACTTGAAGAAACCACAGGAATTACATAGCCAAATAACTCTAACACATAAAGTAATTGAAAGTAGGTGACACAGAAGTTTGTCAAGGTTATAAAAAAAAGTCAGTGGATTTTTAAATCTATAGTTGGGTGATATGGAGGGCTATCTATTGTAGCTTTATTTTGCAGATGAGAAAATGAGCACAGAATACATAAATTGCTTGCCAAGGGTTACTTCAGATATTAAGTAGCCCATATTTGAGCCTCGTTCTGCCTGGCCATAAGGCTTATGTTCTTTCTTTTACAGAATACCATCCTCTTCTTCTATATCATCCCAGGCCCCACAGAAGCAGATCTTGCTTAGGAGCACTAGCTGGTCATGTGTGGGTAGAGCATTCATGATTTGTTTTCTCTGGTTTATTTATAGCCAGAGAGTAGGGAGAGGAATGCAAGTCAGGCAAGTGGTGTGAGAAGAGGTACCTGTGTATTGGGTTGGGTGTGAGGGTTGAGGATAGAGACAAAAAGGAGCCACTCTGAGCTCAAATGTGACACAGGCTCTAATTTAATGCGTCTATTCTTGGCTGTGGTTCTGGGTGGTCTCTGGAATGACATTGACAGGCAGTGTCAATCCAGTGGTGACATTCAGGATCTGAATCCTTTCAGCATTACTTTATACCTACACATCAATACACAAATGCACACAAATGCCATAAATATGGAGATAAATTCTTCTAAAAATAGCATGCCATAACATATACCACTAAACCATGAGCTGTCTTATAAAATGGAAGGCTACCTTTTGATTCTAGTAGTGTTTCTGGTGCTTGTTGGATAGCTGCAACTCCCTTTCAAAAGAGCGAACAGTGATTTGGATGCATAAAGTAGGGAAGTTTGTTGAGGACAGCAAAAGGAAGAGAAAAGAAAAGAAAAACCCATGCTCCATTTATACTTTTTATTAAGAATTAAGGATTATGTTAAATGATGTAATCGTGTAGAAAGAAGTGCTATGAAATGTTTATCCATATAAAATTTTCTTATTTTTCTTTCAGTAGTGAGCAAGACTGGCAACAAATTAAAATAAAACAAGACTGACTTACAAAACCACTTAATATCAGACGGAATGTGGCCCAGATCAAGGAAGGTCAGAGCTCAGGAATGTGTTGCCATGTTATGTTCATTCCAGAACTTCCTAGGCTTTGCCTGCATCTGAGCGATGACAAAAGTATGTTTGGTCACTTCATTTTGATTGCTCTACACTCACAAGAATGGCAGCTAAGCTGTGCATGTGATTCCTAAGGGCATCTCATATACACAGGTTGGGAATTCAGAGAGCTAATGGGGCCAAGAGAAGTTCCTGTCCCTTCCATGCCAAGTACATAATGGTATCAGTACCCTCCAGGAACTGGAGGCAATAATGCTGATCATATGCTTCATAAGGAATAAATCAATGATTATAGTCAGCATGAGTGTTCAGGAACAACAGGAGCTTTATAAAGACATACTTTCAACTCCAAATTAATTATAACATCTCTCTTGTAAGACAATAGGGTCATGATTTTTAATTCCTTAATTTTTTGATTGGAAGATGTCAAATGTTTCAAGAATAATCATCATTATATAGATTTTTTTGGTTTTAATATTATATGGGACCAAAATACTTATAAAGGAAGAATAATTCTTGACTACGTATGTGGTCCTTTATTAAAACTACCACAAAATTGCCTTTGGGAGAGCATTGGCAGTCACTTCACTACTAATTCCAACTACTGTGACCCTAGGGAAACTTTGGTTAAGCTCTGGAAAACCTGGACTGGTAACATAGATGGTGTAGTAGGTAAAGAGAGGCCACCTTTAATCATCCTTCTCATTATTTGGAAGGTAAGAACCAGTCATACTGGTGGAAACAGACATGGTGCATTGTAATATCCACCCAATACTAAATTGCCGTGGTTCTTAACTGTTTTCCCCACTCAAATTTCTAAATGATGTTACTACAATTGATAGCAGAGGTTCGGTGGCAGTAACTGCCAAGGAGGCATCAGAAGAAAAGCCAGTCTGCATGGTGTATGAAAATTGTGCCTTGGATGCCCCTCCCTTAATTATCATAGTATCTCCAGGTCTTTTGCTTTGTTCTTTTCGTTGTTGTTGTTGCTTTTGTTTTTCTTTTTAATTTATTTTTTATTTATTTTAGAATTTCTCTTTTTCTGTTAACGTTTCTTTCTTTATTTTTTTTTATTTATTACAATTTATTCACTTTGTATTTGCTTTGTTCTTTTGAAACAGAATTTTACTATATATCTCTTGCTGGCCTGGAACTCAGAATGCAAGAGCAGGCTGGCCTCATGCATACAGAAATCTGCTTGCTTCTGCCTCACCACGCCCAACACGATCTCAAGTTCTAATAGAAATTAACCACCTTTGGGCAATCTTTGCCTCATTATCTACCTGGAAGTATTTATGTTGTCTCAGTGGAGTTTCTCCAACCCCCTTAATGTCAATTACTTGTTTTCAATATCACAAAACGATGTTTTCAGAGACGACTATTCTTTCTCAGCTTCTTTTTCTGTTTTCTTCTGAAAGCCTTTGAGATTGCGTCCAAGTCCCAGGCTCCTGAATGGGACTTGAGAAGCAGAGAACTTAACATAAAGATGTCCATAAACAGCCCTGGGTCTGCACTGGATAGGCCCAGGGCAGACCCAACTCAGGGTGAGCGTCAGGATTTGTGAGCTAGTCTTGCTTCAGCATCTCCCTGTGCGTTTGTGGGGAGGCTTCTCTTGGCTCCGCCCCTGCCCATTCCACAATACCTTTAGCCTCCGCTTTTGCGTAACTATATTAATAGAAGGGAACACTTCACATACTGGCGCTCAGGCTCGCTGTGTCTTGGCAGGTAGGCTTGTAGCAAGGAGATGGGTGGGGGAGAAGGCAGAGGCACTCTTGAGTGACGTTTAAAGGAGCCAATGGCAGTACGTGTCAGGGAGGGATGGAGGCACTGTGATCATTTAGCCAATGGAGGACGAGCAACTGCTGGAGCGACCTGGTGACGTGAGGAGCGTTCCATTCAGCCAGCGGTGGGCGGTTGCCACAGCTGGTTTAGGGCTCCGACCATTGGGGCCCCTTGTCAGGAGGAGGCACCCTCCCTGTCAGGGAGAAGTCGCTACCACCTTTGGCGGCTGACGCGATCCCCAGGGACAGTGCACTTTCTGCCCTCAGTTGCCAGCTGAGTTCGGTCTCCCTCGTTCAGGTAACAAGGGGTGGGAGTGTGTGTGGGGGTCTCTGGGACTCCGCTGTCTGGAGGGCTGCATCCTCTCTTCAGCTCCGCCGGGACCCAGGGACGTTGGCACCGCCCTGCTCAGTTTGCCGGCCGCCGAGCCTCTGGCCCGGGGTGACTACACGTGGCGGGGCGTGTGTGTGTGAGTGTGTACGAGCGTGTGGACGCGTGTGCGTGTGGAAGTGGCGCTTGTCCCAGCCAGCTTGGGGCGGTGGTCGGCTGCGTGGCGGAGGCAGGGCGGGCCTCCTGAGGCCGAGCCCGCTGCATAGCCCTGGCTTCTGCCGCTAGGCTGCTGAACCAGGTCGCTGCTTTCCGACTGATTTAAATTTTTCTTCTCCCAGGTTGGACTCCCCTTCCTATTCTGTGTTCCCCTGCTGGGTCAGTTTGTGGGGTGGGGGATTGTTTTCCAGGTTAGTTTTACACAAAGGAAGTGATCTTTGCACCTCTGGGACCCCCCCTCCCCTTTACCAAGCCTTACACCTTTCCATTTAGCTGCTTGGATCTTAGTCCCCTTTTGGACCTTTGCCTTCTCTAGCTTGGGAATGATCTCTGGCTGGGTGTTTCTTGCTCATCAGGCTGCAGGCTTCCGCTTCATTCTTGCCAGCATGGGGCATGTGTTGCCAGTAAATAGAGGACACAGCCCCGCACCTGAGAGGAAGAGAAGGATGACACTGACTGAGAAAGGCGAGGCCTGGAAATCCCAGGATGCTGAATGGAACTGGTACTGGTGAAATGTCCCAGAAAGACCCCAAGGGACTTTGCTGCTGCCACTGCCCTTAGGCGCCCCCCCACCATCAGTTGCCAACCATCCCAGAATCCGTCCTGTTTAAGGAAGCCTTTATGTACAGTGTGATGTGTTTTTATTAAGGGTCTCACAAATGTTAAGCTGGACCAGCAAAGCTGTTTCATTTTCTAACTCAAGCAGTTACAGAAGGCTTGATTAGGGGAAATCTGTTTTGTGTAAATACAATGTGTGTATGTGTACAGAATGCCCAGAACATCCTCCCCCAGCCAGAGGCTTACTTGTTTCCTCCTGTAATTAATATTTGAATGGCTAATTGAAGAAAGAAGGGGAAGGAGTAGAAGAGGGGTGGGAGGGGCTACTTAGGGACACACAACAACAAACCTGCTGGTATTATTTTTACAAATCTTTTAATGAAGACTAAAGAACATTGTAATGCAGTAGAAGGTACTGGGACTGTTAAGTCATTGGGCATGCTTTTTTAATTTTTTGTCTCAGCTTTGTTGCTGTATGTCCCTGAATATGATATTTCCTTTCACTGGTCCTCTGTTTACTCAAGTAAAGTATAGTAATCGGGATGGCCACATACAGAATTCCTACTTACTTCCAAGACTCATGATTAACCAAATCATCAGCATTAGTTTGGAAATGGGATTTATTATTTAAGAAACACTAGTCCCCTCCCCTTTTGGAGTACTGTTATTTTTTTTTATTTTTTATTTTTTGCTTTCCTCTTTAGAGAACAAACATAGATTTGAAATAAAATTTCAAACTTTTGCATTTCCACTCCTCAAGCAGTGTTCATCTTTCTTTGACCGGGAAATGAGGGTTCAATTGTATTTTGTTATTCTTGTCTAATCCCCCCCCTTTCTTTTTCTTAGGGCTCTTGATAATGTTTGACCCAGTGGAAACAATAGCAGACGACGTGATTTCAAAGCTGGGCTCAGGCTCTATTTCTTCTCTCGTGTAGTCACAAAGCCCATTTTGGACCAGGAACTCCAATCATGTCTGTGATGGTGGTAAGAAAGAAGGTGACAAGGAAATGGGAGAAACTCCCAGGCAGGAACACCTTCTGCTGCGATGGCCGTGTCATGATGGCCCGGCAAAAGGGCATCTTCTACTTGACTCTCTTCCTCATCCTGGGGACATGTACACTGTTCTTTGCCTTCGAGTGAGTTTACATTGAGTACAGTTGTCTGCGTATGGTTAATTTGGGTTCAAGGGATGAAATTCTGTTTCCTGGGCATTTGTGGTGGGTGGTCCTTGCATGATTTCACTCTTTCATTGAACAATGCTTATAGGCTGAGACTATTGAATTCACTGCTTTGTGGCTATAGTAGAACATATACTTGCTGAAAAGACCAAAAACTTTAAGATTGATTTCATAGACCTGATATGGGGATATCTCTGACAAACAAATGAGTTTGTCTTAATTATTCACCTCGTTTCCCAGACAGTAACTTAGTGACAAATTCTTTCTTCTCTACCCCTCCCAATCCTCATTGTTAGAACACCAGGCAACAATATCCACTTAATCTGCTGTTCTGGATCCTATTTCTGTAAGCCCTAGTTCTTACCTAGCTGTTAATTTGAAAACCAAAACAGAATTGAGAACCTGAAGGTTGGTCCCAGCATTAGCTACACCACAAAGTAGCTGTGGGAATGCCATATAGGTGCTTTTGAAATGTGAGTTCTTTATTTCTCTAAAAAAACCACTCAGTAATATATATATAATACATATACATATATCTATATATCTACACATATATAATACATATACATATATCTACACATATATATGTGTATTATATACACATAAACAATTCTGTATAAGCCTGATGTTAACCATGGAATTTTTTTTTAATGCAATGTGATACCCAGTACTAGAGACACTATGTGAAGTCTGTGTAGGTTACTGCTCCAGGGAGGCGGACAGTTGGAGTCTAGTGCACTGTGGCATGACTACTGGGTATGCTGAGAATGATTCCATACTCTAGGGATGGGAGCAGTGCTAATTGTTTTGGGATTACTGTATTAAGGCGGACGTTGAGGAAGCAAGAGGTGTACGTGTATCAACCGAGGCCACACCTGATGTGAGCCTGCCATGGCTTGTGTTCATGGGTGGCCTGGAAATAGAGTTCCCATGCTGAGGTGTGGCTGGCAGATGCCAAGGGGGCTCCTTGGCCACCTTGAGTAGGTAATTAAAATGAGCTCCAGTCCATTGAGACTTTTGATTTCCCTGCGTATCTCAGAGTGATTTGAGGGCTACATTGCTGGACTTTTGATGATTGCTCCTGGCTTGAATAATAGCAGCGAGAAGAGTGTTATAATGTTCTGTAATAGGGCTGGGAAAATAAGATCAAATGAACTCTTTGTGAAAAGGTCCTTTTCTTGTTATTGCCACTGACTTTGTGGAGATTTTCTGTTAAGTTAGGCAGGTTGCCAAAGGCTTTTTACCTGTTTTCCATGCTGAGTTTTATAGCTCAGTTCACGCGCCTTTGTGTTCTGTGTGTGTGTACATATACCACGTGCTTCTGTGTGGTGCAAGTGAGCATATGCAGCCATGCAGGGTTATACACAGCACAAAACAGTTTGTTTTTCTTCAGCTCACCCTTTCTACATTTTTCTTTCCTCATTTCTGCTTTTCTTCTTGATGAAAGTACAATGTTGAATTCTGCTGTCATTCTTCCTCTTTTGTTCCTTTGGTTTCCCCTACCTCTGCCATTAGAGACTTATGATTAGAATTTTATAACAGAGATGATACTTGTTTTCAGACTATGAGTGAGTTGGTAGTTCTGAGTCTGGGAAACCTCTGCTTTGGTCAGAGAAACATGGGGTTTAGAGCTGTGGCTTTTTGGCTCTTTTTTTGTACCTGGAAGGCTTAAAGAGACTGTGAATTGGATCTGTTCCACTTAGGCCCTTGAAGGTCTCTGAAGAAAACTGCCCATGGGATGAAGCTTCTAATTAGCTAAACTACTATTCAACAGAGGCATGATAAGTTTTCTTCCAAGATGAGTCCGTTTCAAAATTATTTCTTGTTTTTTTTTCTTCTTCTTTTTTTTTTTTTTTTTTTTTGGATATGCGGTGTGACGCACTGCCCTGAGTTCCAGCTCTCTGTTTGAAAGAGTAAATATTTCAAAAGTAAAGGCTGGGGGAGGGAGAGGAGAAGGAAGTACATGTGTTAGTTTAGGAGTGGAATGGGGAAGTATAAATCTGACCAAAGAAGACAGGACTCCAGTGATTAATGCTTTTAGGTGTTGAATGCTTTTAATAAGAAAGGTGGGATCTGGTGTGTGTGTGTGTGTGTGTGTGTGTGTGTTTATCTGTTTGGCATATGCAGACACATGGATAATCACAGTGGTTGCTGCCTTGTGCCTATCCAATAGTAGGCTCTACAAGACACACCAACATAACTATGAGGAATTGAGTCTTTTTATCTTGTTGACTAGTCTGTAATTTACTCTGAGCTGAATAGTGGAGGGTAGGGTTAAGAGGACAGAGTTCGCACTCTAATGTTAGTATTAAGATGCAATAAAACCGAAGGAAACTATATGATCTAGTCCCTGTTTTCAGGCAAGTGATGATGGCATTTAACACTATACTTGATCTTAACCAAATGACCAAGAATTGACAGGTGAGCATATTTGAATACACAGATTGCTGTCTGTTTACATTCTTAAATTATCTGTGAGTCTAGGTTCCATAATCTCTGGCTATTACATTTTTGCCTCCCAGGAAGATAGTTCAAATCTTGATACACATCTGGATGTGCTTCTTATCAATCAGGTCCTGGAAGCAGTAGGTGCTTAGGGACAAGTGTAAGTATTTATGGCCGTGTTTGGCATATCTGTGGGTCAGTCAGATGGCTTTAGCAGTCTGGTCAGTCATGTGGGTTCCCCCTTCATGAAAACGTGCAAGTGACAGCCTTGCACTTTGAGATTTTGCCTAGGGTGTTCAAAGGACAGATCTGTAATTTTCAGTGGACAAGTTGTATGCTGAATACATAAAATAACCTAAAAGATCTTTCACCTGAGAGCAGTTAGCACCAAATTGTTAGAGGTGTTCCTGAAGAAGTTAGGTGATCATCTCTTAAGGTTGTTGTCACAGATTGGAAAGTATGAGGTTGTTGAACCTCTGTTAGCTATGTCTGAAATTATGTATAACTGTCTAAGGGAGATGAAGACACAAAAGGGGAATGTGGATTCCCAATAGGTAGTTGTATTTGTGGTAAATATATATAAATTTAAAAAGGGAGTGAAAATTGTAAAATTCTTAAAGACAAAAAGATTTTCTGATTAATGCTGGGAGTGAGGTATTTAGGAAATGTGCGTACGGATGCTAATTTCAGCTTTCAGCTAAAGGAATGCTGAGTACACCTTTCTGCTCAAACCCTGTCCAGCTTATGTGGGAACGTTACAACAGAATGACAGTGACAACCTGTGAGCTGTCCAGCTACTGAAAAGCTTTTGTAATATCTAGTTTAACTCAACATTCGGAGGAAGTGTAGACTTTGGAAAAGGATCAAACACATTGTCTTCTGGAATTGTTAGCTTTTTCTCTTGTAACTATGTGGCCAGGTTTCTAGTGGAGTCAAAGTCCCAGACTTTTTATGTGGCAAGAAGGACTATATGACCTTTGACCCCCACATACAAGTACCTTGCTGCTATGATTGGTATTTATGTTCTCTCCATGCTGTATGTGGAAGAAATTGTACTAAAGTGATGTCAGACCATTTTTTGTCAGATTGGTCCCCATTGGTGCTTTTGGTGTGTATATTAGAAGAGAAGTCACTGAATTGGATAAAGCAGAAAAAATATTTCTAACATTGCTCAGTAATTATCTCAGTTCTCAGCATACCTTAATTTCCTTCCTCTTTCAAGTTTCTTTAACTGTACATCTGCTCATTGTGCCAATAATCATGTGACATGTCTTTCATTTCTGAATTCTTATTTTGATTTTTGAGATGTGGTTCTCATGTAGCTCAAGACGACCTTGAATTTCCTGTGTAGCTAAGGATGACCTTAAGCTCCTGATCCCTCTGCCTCCACCCACCAAGTACTGGGATTATGAATTTGTGCCACCACACCCAGCCTGCCTGTTTTTTCTGTTTCTATTATGCTTACACTCTCTATTTGTCCTGTGTAGCTTCAAGCTCTTTCAGGCTCAGGTGTTCTCCCCTGTAGTGCAGCATTCTGTGGTGATCTACATTGGAGTAGGTGGTCAACCAATATTGTCTGGATTCATTTAAAATTCCAGTCTTCACTCACAGAATCATAGCATGGTAGAGCTATAAAGGGCTATGGAGACTATCTCCATCTTTTTGTGGCTTAGGAAATCAGACCCACAGAATTGAGCTAATTCAAGATCTGTTGAATGCTCATCTTTTGGCTATGGAATTATGAAGACATTCAAGTTATTATATTAAAGTTATGAATAACACAAAAAATGCTAGCATCTCCCAAAGCTCATGCTCCTAAGAAACCAAGGATTATTTTGTAGAAAATTGACAGCATTCTGGCATGGCATTCTTGCAGGAGAACAGTGGCCTGTCTGTAAGTGAAGACTTAAAATGTAAGATGCTTTGTGAGTTCATGAAGGATCATTGCCTCTGTTGCCACTCCTAGGCCTGGATCCCAGGGTAAAAATTTCTGGGAGAAAAATTGAGCAGGGGATGTTCCTTACCTAGAGACTCTGTGGTTGCTCATGGTGCAGTAAAAATTAATATCTGACATCATTTAAACTGGTTTAAGGAAACACAGAACTACAGAGACAAGCCACACTTGGACGTGGTTGAAATCTACTGCCTATCCTTCACTGAAACTGAGAAGAGATAAAGGTGACTATCATGGTCTTTGACCAAGAATGTTCTTTTGGGAGTTGCTCTGTGAAGGTCAGTCTTACACTTTATGTGAGTTAGACTGCTCTGTACTTGGCTAACCAAATGGATGTTTTAGAATGTTATAATGGCTTGTGGCCTCTTTGATATAAGTCCACTACAGTTCTTAGTGAAACCTAACTTTTTTTTCTTTTTTGAGACAAGGTCTCATGTAGCTCTGGTTAGCCTCAAATGCACTATGTAGCAGAGGATGACGTGGAACTCTTGATCCCCCCTTCTCTGTTGCTTGAGTTGCTGGGATTTCAGGCATGTGCTACCATGTTTAGTTTTATATA